AGTCAAATTTTTTATCACTTTTGCAGTTAACTATTTATTATTTGATAGTGGCGTTTTAGTCACATTTGTCATCACTTTTGTAGTTAACTAGTTATTATTTGATAGTGGCGTTTTAGTCACATTTGTCATCACTTTTGTAGTTAACTAGTTATTATTTGATAGTGGCGTTTTAGTCACATTTGTCATCACTTTTGTTGTTAACTATAGTTATTATTTGATAGTGGCGTTTTAGTCACATTTCTGCATCAAGATCATCTTTTCATTCACTTGTCATTTTCTACAGATCTTTTCTCTCATTCTGATAAAAATGATTTTCATTATTATTAAAGTGTCATTTTCTTATTATTTTGATAATTTATGGAATAAATTTATTATTTACATTTTCAAATGCGTTATGTTTACTTGCATTATATCAAATCAGCTACGTGTTAAAAATTAATGTTTCATTTTTTATAAGATTTCACTCTGGAGTAGATCGTTCTGCGTTTGCTCTGTGTGTTCTTAAAAAGATAATGTGTATTAATATAGAACATATAATGTAGTGTGTGAAAAAATGTGTATATCTTTCATCTGTGCGCAGTGGTAGTCAACATGTGAAGATGGCAATCTGCGGTTGACAGTGGCAGTTGTATGAATTGTATGTACACAGTGCTAAAATGTTAATTCTCATCTGTAAACATCTCAAAGTGCATGGATTCAATTAAGGAATGTTTTTAAGTTTTGTGTGAGTTATTGGTGTGTGAATCACATAGTCCGAAAAATCTGACGTTTTCCTGGCTTTTTTACGATTTTGATATTTTACATGCCAGGAAAACGTCAGAACCGGTGTAACGTTGAATATTGACCCGAGTTGAAAATTGAACCGGGGGTCATTTTTCAACGTTGAATATTGAACCAGAGGTGTTTTTTCTCCGTTGAAAATTGAGACCAAAAGTCGTTGAATTTATACCCGGGGTTATTTTTCAACAGCTTTATAATTTTTTTTCTTATCTCTGCTGACATCAACAAGTTGAAAATTGACCCTGTTGAATATTGACCCCAACCCAGAGTTTGAACATTATCTGAGCTTGTTTTACGGGATTTATCAGTATCTCTATACTTATATTTCAGTTTCAATTTTTTCCCTTTTCAAGAGTAGTAGAAATAAACCTATCATCCCGTGTATATATGTAAGACTCCAAGGTCCGATGGTGACGCCAAAGTCCGATGGTCTCGCCAAACCCCGATGGTCTGCGCCAAACCCGATGGTTTGTTGTCGGTACGGACGCCAAAGTCCGATGGCTCGTTTCTAAAGAGATACGCTGCGCTAAAGTGCGATGGTCTGACACGCCAAAGTCCGATGGTGTGGAGAAACAATCGACGTTTATGACGTCACAATAATTCGACGTCAATCCTTGACGCCGTTTTCCTGCATTCACATTATCATCATGAACATGGTGTGGCTTTCTAGTTTGGCGCATTAGTACTATGACGTCATAAACTTTAATTGTTTCTCCGCACCATCGGACCATCGGACTTTGGCGTGTCAGACCATCGAGGATTGGCACAGACCATCGGACTTTGGCGTGACCATCGGACTTTTGAGTCCCATCGAACTTTCTAAAATCTATCGCATCCATAAAAAAATATAAAACTATGAATAGGGCATAAAACAAAAAGTCCTGGAAATCTGGTGTGAAAATAAAGACATCAATCAGCCAAAATTGTCCAAGAAATTTATTAGGGCATTACACTCTAAACCAAACTTCTAAACGAGGCATTCCTTTCTGTTAGAAATATAAATATTCATTAGCTTTCAGCTCAGGTGAGCTAAAAAGCGTAAACTGTTCCAACCCAGTTTATACCGTATAAAATGAGTAGCTATTAAATTCATTGCTTATAATATAATTTTCATTCATTTGATGTAAGAAAATAAGATGATTGTTCCAACAAAATGACTTTAATTTGTACAAAATTTGAATGTAATGTCAGGCGGATTGATACGTTTTTGACGCAAGTCATTGGGACGTATGCAACCCATTTTATACGAAATTTTTTATCCAATCAAATACAGCGTTACAACCAGAATTAAATTATAGTAACTTAACGTTAAAAATGAAAGTGAATTTAAGAGCGGTGCCGAATTTGAAAGTTTATGTTTATTTCAAAGGCTTTTCTTGTTTCAGTATAATAAACAATTCATTGCAGGATAGTGAGAAAAATATGAAGATTTATTCAGCCAAGAAATATCATATTCGGATTCCCCTCGGGCGAAGCCCTCAAGGAATATGATTTGTCTTGGCTGAATAAGTCTTCATATGAAGCCCCCGGGGAATATGATTTTTTCCTGGCTGAATAAGTCTTCATATTTTCCTCACTATTATGCAATAAATGTATGTAATAACTGAATTAAGTGTGTATTGATTATATTGGTATCGGGAGAAAATTGAAAGTGCAGGGGGAGGGGTTGACAAAGAGAAAAATCAAATTTTAAAAATAATTGACAAAAAAAAGAAAATAAAATTTGTCCATTGTCAAAACTAGTAGTCCAAACCCGAAATCCTTTTTTAGGGTTGAGGGGGGTGTTAAACAATGCCTATATTAAATTTAATTATGTCTATCTTTGAAAAAAAAAATAGGGGGGGGGGGGGTGCTAAGCATCCCTATCCCCCCTCCCGACGCATATGGATTAAATTACAGTTGTGAAAACCAAGTCATAAATATGTTTTTATGCTGTTGAATTTAGAGCCGGTTTTACGATCAATATTCCACGACCCGGCTCAGTTTTCAACGGACTAGGGTCTAAACTCAACATCTTAGGTCTCAGTATTCAACGTTGAAAAATGAGCCCTGGGTCCATTTTCAACCCAGGTCAAAATTCAACGTTACACCGGCGCCATTACGTAAACTGGGAAATCGCCGCCTCCAGCCAGAGGCTGCATTGATGAGTTGATTTTAGATATATATACTTGCGAACTGAATTAAATTTCAAAGTCAAAAGTTATCAATAGTACAATACTTAAAGAACTTACCAATGTAGTTTTTATGGTTCATTAATGAAATAAATAATCCTTTGAAAAAGGTTTTATCACACTGTCGAGATTTGTCTTCATTTCGTGCATTTTAAAATCTTGCATGTCCTGTTACGAAATGTGGAGTGATATTTTCTTTTCATCGATATTAGTGAGTACTATAGGCATTGTGCTTTTGATAAATTATGATTTCGGCATTTAGCTCGGTTCACAAGTTTCGAAAATCAACTCCAGTTGAAGACGGCGAAATTTCCAGTTTTCGTAACATTGACGCCGGTTTTGACGTTTTCCTGGCATGTAAAATATCAAAATCGTAAAAAAGCCAGGATTTTTCGGACTATGAATCACACAGACTTGTCACGTAGGCATATTTCATGAAGCGCGCTAGCGCTTCATGAAAAATATGCCTACATGCAAGTTTGTGTGATTCAACCAATAAGTCACACTAAACTTAAAAACATTCCTTAGAATTACATTTTCCATGTCTTCAAACATCATTAAAAATATACTCAATATCACAGGTACTTGTGGACAGTACCCCCCCCCCCATCCGATATTCAACCCCGGGGCTTATTTGACATTTTTTTCAAAATTTATATTTAGTACACATATTCAACATGTTTGCAATATGAACACATCGTCAAAACCAAAAAAATACCCCACTATACATTATAATCTCTCTTATAATGTATAGTGGGGGTATTTTTTGAGGAGCGATTATTTTGTGGTTTTGACGATCTGTTCCTAGGCTATTGCAAACATGTTGAATAAGTGTACTAAATATAAATTGTGAAAAAAATGTCAAATAAGCCCTGGGGTTGAATATCGGGGGGGGGGGGGTCCTGTCCACAAGTACCTGTGCTCAATATTTGAATTTCTTGCTGCCCTATATTGTTGCATTTTTCTAACCTCTCTGTATAGCCTCATTGTGACGTCACGTTAGTGCACGTTTCTCCGTGTACATATGTCTACGCATGAGTATACACGAAAATGGTATTCAAATCAATTCCACGGTTGCCTTACTACAAATGTAAATATTTTTGTTTGTCAATTTTCGAAGAACAAAGAATTCGAAAGGAGAAGGGTAATGGATTGGTTTAGGTATTATATTAAATACACACGTAAATGTATATCACCCGTAGAACTTTGCGCGTTGTCGAAGTCAAAATAAATATCCGAGAATTTATAGATATTGAGGTTTGAAATATTTACATAAAGAACAAGATGTGTTTGTGAAACACTGAGGCCTCCGTATGGCAGCTTATTACGGGGGTTGCAATTCAAGTTTCTCAAAAGCCCTGGGACTAATCGTTCAAAAGTTATGGTCAAGGTTATAGTTTCTTAAAGACGGTCAAACTCTAATATGAAAATCAACACGTTAAAATATTTTTTATGTATACCCATTGAAAAGCCTTGTCAGAGCCATCTGCATGTCCAGAAATCGATTCGATGACATGTAGTATGTACAAAATATGATCAGGGACCTGTGTATATATTAACTGAAATATAGGTCCCTGATATGATGTAAAATTCAAAAAGACAGAAAAAAATGCATGACTGGAAAATCCTCATCATGAAATATTGGAATTAAAACTTTCAAACAGGTTCATGCAGTTGTCAAATCTGAAATCAGGTTTTTAAAAATTATATTAAGATGCTATGCATGGGCGTCGGAAGCAAATCGAAGAGGGGGGGGGGGGGGGCTAATTGAAAGTGGTGGGCTAAACCAACAAAAATTGATAAACCCCATTTTTTCAATGCCTATATAATGTAAATATTTGCAAAAAAGTAGGGGGTGTAATTTTATGTTTCGTAAGTATATATTAATACAATCCTTTCTTGGGAGAGAACATTTTCGTTATCTTGGGGAAAAAATACAATAAATGTACAATGTCATGTAGATTTTTTTTTTTTTTGAAAATTCAAATACTAATTTCTTTCAATCTATGCTATTTTCAACTGTGAAACAAATATTTTTTGTGTGTTTAGTGTATTTCTGCGCCTGGACAATCTATACATTAGCCTGGGAAAAGTACATTAATGAACATCCCGACCATCCAGTCCATTGCATTATGTACGAAGATCTTCAACAGGTACATTTCACTTGGAATCTATCTAACTGCTGCATTTGCTGTACTACTGCATTGTTTCAAGGACATGTTAAGGTCGTAAAATGTTGTCAAGAGATATAACGAATACTAGTATACAAACAACTATAATACGTACGTGTAGTTGGTTTAATTATCAGGTATGTCCCAAAAAGGAAATACAATTGCTTCAAAAAAGTTAATATAAACATTCATTTTTCAATGTCAATATAAAATTCTTATTTACATTTTACAGGATCCAATTAGTGAAATAAAGCGTTTGGCGTTGTTTATGGATAAACCATGTGACGATAAACTTGCCAGTGTAATTGCTGAAAAATGTTCCTTTCAAAATCTAAAGACAGCGGCAGCCAGCGTAAAAGAAGACACAATGGGTGTGTCTTTATACAGAAAAGGCAAGGTCAAGGTTCTTATAAATTCACCAATGGCTGAGATGCACATATAGGATTCAAATTTTCAAACTTGAAGTTGACGGTTTTTTTTACAGTATATGTATATAGTCTGACTATTAATAAAATTTATTTACTTTCAAAAGAAAAAAAGTAATGTGGAGCTTTCTCATCTTGAAACTTGAATTTCTACCATTTTCAGGTAAGGTGGGAGACTGGAGGAATTATTTTACTGTTGCATTGAACGAGAAGTTTGACAAATATCTACAGCAGCACAAAACAGATTCAGTATATAAATATGAAATTTGATATTGATTTTTTGTTCATTGTTTTATCGTTGTAATTGTGATAGTATTAAAAATTAATTTAGGTTTGTCAGTCTGTATGCATATTTTTTAGGTTGGTTGATCGTACTAAGGGGACGACCATTTGATTCTGAGGGGGGGGGGGGGGGGGGCTGGCAGATTTTGGAAATAAATAATCTGTCCCTGAAAATTTTGAAAATAAATAGTCTGTCCTCCACTACAAACAAAATAAATAATCTGATCTTGACTTATGATATTTAATGTGAAACATGCCTTTTTTATTTACGTGTAATTAAATCTCAAAAATCTTCAATTCAAAAATTTTTTTGGCTCGCTTCGCTCGCCATTTTAGAACCAAGTAGTATTTAAAATCAGATTACCAGACTGGATACTTGTAGTCAGTTTATCAACATGGCAATGTGCACTTAGTAGGTGTGATGAATCACTTTAAATACAAGTCAATTCTTATACACCGCAAAAGAAAATTTTCTTGTCAAAGAATTACACTTCCCCGATAAGTTAACATAAAATATACACTGGCGGATTTAAGGGGGACGTACATTTTACATGTGTACGACCCCTCCCCTAAAATTTCAAAGTATGATACGAATAATAATGCCATACTTTGGGACAATACCAATATTTTTGTGCCTAGTTTCACTCTTAAAATACACAAATACCCAAGAGCTTTAGGGGGCTTCGCCCCCTGGGCCCTTTTCATACGAATTATAATATGACTAGTATTAACAATGTCATATTTTGGTACATAACTAACCAATTCCTACACAATTGTGTCTTGTACTCTTTTATATACAGAAAAACCCAAGAGCTTCAGGGGGCTTCGCCCCCAGAACCCCCTTCATTCAAAGTATGATTTGACCAGTATTAATTATGTCATACTTTGGTTCATAATAACCAATACCACTATATAAAGGGCCGGTTTTACTCTTAAAATACACGAAAACCCTAGAGCTTCGGGGGGGGGGGGGAGGGGGGGCTACTCCATTGGCCTCCACAAGGGCTTCGCCAAGGACCACTGAGGGCCTTACGGCAGCCCCAGACCTCTTGCCTAAACTAAGTTATACACGCCCCATCCCCAAATTCTGTATTCGCCAATGGTATATAAATGAATAGTATTTTAGAATCAATTGACCAAGGTACCGTAAGGCAAAGAAGAAAATAAATAATCTGTCCTTGATAATCTTGAAAATAAATAATCTGTCCTCGACAGGCATGAAAATAAATAATCCGTCTCAAAAAAAATTGCCAGCCCCCCCCCCCCCCCCCCCCCCCCCCAGGATCAAATGGTCGTCCCCTAATTTAAATGACAAATGTCAAAATGAACTTTTCATGTAAAGGGATAAGCTTGGGTATTTTTGTAAAGATAAGCCAAGCAAGGCATTGAATTAGATAGATATAAAGTCAATTGCCATGGAAAAATGTGAAGAACGCTAATCATGTAATATTTGACCCAACGACATATTGTACTTATCTGCAAATAATTCATTGTGTCAACCATAGAATTTCCGGTATGTTAACGATGTTTTTGAAGTCTCTGTAACATCAAATTATTTGTCGGTAGTCTGTCTGGTTTAAAAACTAATCAATCGGTATATGCTCTGGAGTATCGAAAAAGTTGAGAGGTATAAACACTATATTAAATTCTATGGTCTTTATTATAATGACCTTGTTTGAAAATAGCCTATCATTGGATCATATTTTTTACAGACATATATCTCGTTCCAATTGGTAGAACTTTGCTTTTATAGTAAATTCGACTGGAAATTACTCCGCCTGCCTGATCAACTGATAAAACTCATGGTAGGTATGTCCGGTTGACAGGGGTCATCTACTTTTTCAAAGTACCCGACCATTCTCTGAAATTTCCAGGGGGGGGGGGGGTGTTATGCCTATGCCGTATGTTCTTTTGGGTCTTCTAATATCGGTCCCCTATTTCATTTCTAGAGTTGCTTAAAACCAAAAATTTAATCAAAATCTTTGCTTTCAAAAGAAATCCATGTCATCTTTTAAGCCTATTTATTTTCCATAAAACGGATAATCGCGAAAAACACTTTTTTTTCAAGTCAATATGTCATTTAGAATGCCAGAAAAAAGAGTGGAAAGGAAAGTGGAAGAAGATGAAGTCTGTGAAAGACAAAATAGCTAAAGACTGCAGAAAATTTTTTTATTTAAGTTTTTATAATTCAAAGTATACAACAATGCATGAAAAAAAGACTGATAATATAAGGCAGTGCTTAAATCCGAGGGCTAAGAACTGACTTTTGATTTTACAAATCTCAGAGACAGTATGTAAAATTTGAATCATAATGCAGCAGGATATGTTGATAAAACTTATCACATCATCTTCTAACAGACTACAAGCATCAATACTCTTTCTTTAGCTTCATGTACAAAGAACAAGGAATAATGGAATTCATGCTGAAAGTTACTTTCTAAAATATTGTTTACAGCTCCTTAAAATTTGGATATGCTTAAGATAGCTAAAGAAAATTCATCTATAAAATATGAGCAATAATATCAAAATGATTCAACAGAATATGTAAATCTACCTAAGCATAATATTTTGATCAATGATGAGATGTTTTCTTTGTCATGAAAATATTGGTGTCAGGTGTGAAACTGTATTTCAAATAAAAAACCAAAACAATTCTGGCTTGGATTTCTCGAAAAAATCTTAAGTTTTTACTCAAGTTCAATCTCAAACTCTGACAAAAAACTCAGCTAAGATCTTTCTCAAATCACGTTTCTCGAAACAAACTCAGGCAAATCTCAGCTAAGTTTATTTTTTTCTCAACTGAGATTTTTTCAACGTCGCATAAGCGGCCTTGTTCTTGACTTCCGGTTATAGTATCCAATGTAAATCATCGTCTGCAACACCACAAAGCGCCAAAATAATGGAAGAGAAGACGTGTAAGACACCCCGCCGGCCCAATTGGACGGAAAAAGAAAAAATCGTCTTGGTTGAGGCGGTCCGTCAACGCGAGGACCGCCTTTTTGGGAAGATGAAGGGGCCGGGGGGTGTCAAAAACGTAAAAATCAAAGAGGGGGCTTGGGAGGAGGTCGCAGGGGCGGTGAATGCGTAAGTATCAGCACTTATGTATGAATAACAATCGTATACATCTACATTCATAATCAATAGATCTATATCACTCGAAGTTTCTTATATACGACGCGTGATAAAGAACACGAAGCTACCCTCATACTGTTTGCTAAAATTAGAAAGGGGAATTCCAAATCATGTATACTTGTTTTGAAAATTAAATCAAATACACACATCGATGTATTCAATTTATTTATAGATTCACCAAACATGTTGGCATCAACCATGCTACAAAAGTGATGTTTTCACTCTTTACTAAGACAAATACCAGGGCCAAATTAAGAGGACTGTACAATTAGCTCTACAGTTCTTTAGCTAAAGATAAATAATATCTTCAGACTTTAGTAAAGATGCAGTGTCCAATCAGCAGTGAATCATAAATATATATCCGGTATGAAAATGACAATTCCAGTTTGATCAACATGATTGATCGAGTCATGACACAAATTTGTACAAGCCAAAAAAAATGGAGTGGGGTGGGGATGGGTGAAGTCATCAGGGAGAACAAGCATATATTCACTTGTTTTCTGTTACATATAATAACAAAAAGTGTTGAGAGATAAGGAGGGAACAATTATAAAATGTCTTTTTTTTTAATTGTAACAAATTTCTTTTTTTTAATTGTAACAAAATTAAATATTTGCCCCCTTGCAAAGTCTAAAACTTCATGTAACAAAAACAAATTCCCAGAAAATAAAAAAAAGTGTTGGTTGTCAGAACAACCAGTAATTGTTTCACATTATTATTTGATGCAGCACTTATTAATTATGATCAAGCATGCAGTCATTGCAGTACTACATTTAAATCTTTAAATATTTCAGAAACTCTGATACAACTCAACGCACGGTGGACGAGATCAAGAAACAATATGCCAACATAAAGCAAAGAGGTAATTTTTATTTAAGTACAGGGCTATATATTGATTTATTCAACATCATACATGAAACACCATATTATTATAAAGTTTTAAATGTCTTCAAATGACCAAAAAAATTAAAAAGTTATGTGATAGAGTTGTTTGATTTCATAAATGCATTTATAGAAGTAAATTCATTTGTATAATCCAATATTAATTGTGCTACAAGTAGGTCAGAAAGGGGCAAGCAAAAGATGGCTTGGTCATGTGCACATATTCACATATATTATTTTTGGACATGTATTTTTTAAATGAAATAATTTAACATGAATGATAGAAATAACTGATATAATAAGCTTTTCCGTGGCCTAAAATAAATAAAAAATTAAGTTGACAGTAACTGAGACATGTGGACTGGAAAATATGATAAAATATACGTTGTGTACTTAATGTTTTATGACAGCAAAAGAGAAGTCTGATGCCATTAGAAGACCAGTTACAGGTGGGGGCCCCAAACCTCCCTCCCCAACCCCTGTAGAAGCTGAGCTACTAAGCCACCTTGAAGACAGGCCAACCCTATGTGGCCTGTCCACTGGACATGACACGGAGGAAGGTTCATATTGGATTTATTGTTTAAATATTTGAAAAGCAAGATAATAGGACTGGAAGTATCTAAAAATACCCTGATGATTTATATTTTTAGCTCTACTGGTCAGAGACCAGAAGAGCTTATGCGATAGTAATGCGTCCGGCGTCCGTCCGTCTGTCCGTCTGTCTGTCTGTCTGTCTGTCTGTCCGTCTGTCCGTCTGTCTGTAAACAATTTTTCAAAATGCTACTCCTCCTACAGTTTTGGTCTAATTTCAGTATAACTTGGCACACAAGTAGACTACAATAAGATACATAATTCTGTGTATCGGTTTTTGATTTCGAGGAACGGTGTTGCCGTGGTTACTAAAAATAGAAATTTCTGTGAAATTCTTTCAAAACGCTACTCCTCCTACAGTTTTGGTCTGATTTCATTATAACTTGGCACACAAGTAGACTACACTAAGATACATAATTCTGTATATCGGTTTTTGATTTTGATGAACGGTGTTGCCATGGTTACTAAAAATAGAAATTTCTGTGAAATTCTTTCAAAATGCTACTCCTCCTACAGTTTTGGTTTGATTTCATTATAACTTGACACACAAGTAGACTACACTAAGATACATAATTCTGTGTATTGGTTTTTGATTTCGATGAACGGTGTTGCCGTGGTAACTAAAAATAGAAATTTCTGTGAAATTCTTTCAAAATGCTACTCCTCCTACAGTTTTGGTCTGATTTCAGTATTACTTGGCAAACAAGTAGAACACACTAAGATACATAATTCTGTGTATCGGTTTTTGATTTTGATGAACGGTGTTGCCGTGGTTACTAAAATTAAAAATTTCTGTGAACAATTTTTCAAAATGCTACTCCTCCTACAGTTTTGGTTTGATTTCATTATAACTTGGCACAAAGTAGAATACACTAAGATACATAATTCTGTTTATCGGTTTTTGATTTAGATGAACGGTGTTGCCGTGGTTACTAAAAATAGAAATATCTGTAAAATTGTTTCAAAATGCTACTCCTCCTACAGTTTTGGTCTGATTTCAATATAACTTGGCACATAAGTAGAATACACTAAGATACATAATTCTGTGTATCGAATTTTAATTTTGATGAACGGTGTTGCCGTGGTTACTAAAAATAGAAATGTCTGTAAAATTGTTTCAAAATGCTACTCCTCCTACAGTTTTGGTCTGATTTCAGTATAACTTGGCACACAAGTAGACTACACTAAGAACATAAAGAGACTTTATCAACGATCATTATTCTATTTAGTTTCAAATCCCAGCTGCTTACGTACTTTTCTCTTCCTTTGCTATAAGTTCAAACCAGTAGAGCTTCAGTCTCGACAGAGACTTCTGGTTTAATTCAAAAGACAATAAATTTCATTTTTAACCTCACTGGAATATAACAAATGTACCCGGTAGATTTTAAAATACTGTGCAGTGTTAATCGTTGAAGTACATATATGTATAAATGCACTAATTTATAACCATAAAATCATTAATTTACATGATTATATACATATGTACTACTTTATTTTAAAACTGTAATAACATAGTGTCAATGTAACATGT